ATATTTTCACTTCAAACGTTACCGTCGAGACCCCAAATTTTTATGTGTGGTACATATATGAATGCTTTAGTCTCAGTAAAAATTTCACAATTTTTAGTAGACATTAGCTAGACCAAACATATTTTCCTTCCACTGTTGTTCAAACCGTATTTGCTGAATTGCTTCCAATGCTTTCACACACACACACACACACACACACACACACAAATTCAAATTTTGCCATAATTGCCTAAGTTTATATGAATAACCACCTTCTATTATATTTTTATATGTTTCAAAAATTTTTTTTTTTTTTTTCTGATTTACAAAATATTTTGGTTAACATCAAAGGGGTTGAATAAAAGAAAGATCGATTATTTTTAATGCTTCGGGTTCCAAGAATTCAGGACGTCACAGGTACATACTTGATGAAAAAGTCAGCGGTGATAACGTGCAAAAATGTGTGAGCATCATAGCTTCAAGCCCATAAAAGATGTCGAAAAAAGATTAATTTTTTGAGAGATCCATTTTTACCATAAAATGTCTATCGTAAGATACATTTGAAGATATTATAGTTTCTATTTTCGGTGTAAACTCTATTTGAAAATTGAAATCAATCTCTCTCCCCATGGGAAATAGGCTGTAAATCACTTTTACGAACGCTTTAAAAAATATAACATCTTCACCATGAAGCGCAACTATTATTTTGAAAAAGCTCTTTAGGAGTCATTTTTTTTGGAATATCCAGAATTTTTAGAGTCTAAAATGAGTCGTTGATCGATTATTCGGAGCCGGTCGACGGGTCGAGGGGTATCTAGCTTGTAGCACACAATGATTTTTTTAATCATGTACGCTGATCCCATTCTTTTTTATAGAAAAGTTGTGGTGTGATGTGCCCCCCCTACATTTCGTGGTAATGAACTCTAGAGGTCATTTGGATTTTATTTTTTATTTTTTAAATGAAACAATGAGAGAAGAACACCCCGTGATAGGTGATGATAGTCCATGTTAACCACAATGCAGTACTTCTATTTGATCCATGTAATCTTTCTCAAGTACATAATAACATGGTTTTGTAAGCTCTAACAGTTTGAACTTGGATTCATAAATAAAAACCAGTTCAAGGAGAGGGAATATAATCTTCGAAACCTTTGTGGTAAGTTGCACCCATATCAACTCAGTAGAAAAAAAATGATACGGTGAATGCTCCACGCGGATACAAACATCGAGGATCTCCTTGAAGACCCTACTAATTGAATAAATTGAGTTCAAAAAATCGAAAAAAAAATTACTCATTTCTTTTGAAGGCCTCCACAGAAAGCAGCCTTTTCTCTTTCAATTTACTAACATCGCAAATTTTTGTTGTGCTAGTAGTGTTTTGGAGGAGGTGAAGAGTAGTAGTATGGTGACAGTGACAATGGAGTTGATGGAGGAGGTGACTTGCAGTAATATGGAGGAGGTGGTGATGGAGATGTGGGTGGTGGAGCCTTGTAGTAGTATGGAGGAGGTGGCGATGGTGATGGAGGTGGTGGTGATTTGTAATAATAAGGTGGTGGTGCCATGGAGATGGAGGAGAAGGTGATTTGTATAAATATGGTGAATACTCAAAGTGCTTTGGTGGTGGTGGTGACAAGTAGTACTTCTTTGGTGGAGGGGGTGACTTGTGGTAATATTGTAGGTGCTCAACATGCTTTGGAGGTGGTGGTGACTTATAGTGGTAAGGTGGAGAAGGTGATGAGTAGTAGTACTTCTTTGGTAAAGGGTGTGACTTGTAGAAGTACCGTGGGTGCTCTACATGCTTTGGAGGTGGTGGTGACTTGTAATAGTATGGTGAAGGTCGTGATGAGTACCTCTTTGGTGGAGGTGGTGACTTGTAGTAGTAATGTGGTGCTCTACATGCTTTGGTGGTAGTGGTGCCTTACAGTGGTAAGGTGGAGGATGTGACGAGTAGTAGTAATTCTTTGGTGGAGGGGGTGACTTGTAGTAGTAATGTGGGTTCTCTACATGCTTTAGAGGAGGTGGTGACTTGTAATAGTATGGTGGAGGTGATGATGGGTAGGAGTACTTTGGTGGAGGGGGTGATTTGTGGGTGCTCAACATGCTTAAGAGGTTGTGGTGACTCATAGTAGTATGATGGAGGTGGTGATGGAGATGGCAGAGGAGTTGATTTGTAGTAGTAAGGTGGTGGTGGTGATTGTGATGGAGGTGGATAAGATTTGTAGCAATACGGTGGTTGCTTTGAGTGCTTTGGAGGTGACAGCGACTTGTAGTAGTAAATTGAAGGTGGCGGTGACTTGTAATAGTACTTTTTCAGTTGTGGATGTGATTTGTAATAGTAATGTGGGTGCTTTACGTATTTTGGAGGCGGTGGTGATTTGTAGTAATAAGACGGATGCTCCAAAAGACTTTGGAGGAGTTGGCGACTTGTACCCGTAAGCCAGGTGCATGGAGAGCTCAGGTGGCGGTGGCGAGGCATAAACATAAGGCTTGTAGGCAGATATGCTAGTGGCTGCTAAGCAACATGCAGTAGCATATATTATGGGAAGCCATTGGCATGGCTTTTCTCGGATTCCCATTTTTGAGTCTTTGACTATGACTTGTGTAATTAATGAGGATGGTTCCTAGCCATTTATATAGTCATCTGATGCATCAAGTTGCTAATAATGGCATGTTTGTTTAATGAAGAAAATAGAGCTTAAAGTTTAATCATACCCTTACATGTTTACAACTACAGGATCATGGTCAGGGCCGGCCTTGATGATTTGTGGGCCTTATGCCAACTTCAAATATGAAGTCCCTATATTTTGAGCTTTTTTACATAGAGTTTTAATATAATTATTAAGAACCCAATACAAACAACAAAGTGTAAAAATTTGAAGAGAAAATAACAGAATGTCAAATTTCAACATGTAATACAAATCATAAGTGAAGCTTGGCAAATAAAAATACAATGTAATGGCAAAGGGGTCTATTCGTTTTTTTGATTATTTTCTCACAGCAACTATTTCAAACAAAAATGAACATATATTTGAGTGATTTATGTACAAAATTGAAGCCTTAACATACTAAAATGACTTGATATCAAACCAATTGCGATTAATACAATCGAAATTTTCTAAACGAAAATTAGGCCTTGATTGCGAGATAGTGTGTAACAAAATAATGAAAATAATAATCAAATATAAATGAGCTTCTAATTTTATATTAGTTCATAAGAAATTAACTTACGATAAGAAGTATGACAGCGGAAAAGAATTATTAATTCAAAGTACCTAACAAACATATAAAAAGGCTATTATCATGAGATTAAAGCACAATAAAAATTACAGTCTATGTACTCTGTAGTAGATATTTTGACGATAAGGGAGAAAGAAAGAAACCTATAAGACTGTAAAAATAGAAGTGAGACAAAACCAATCTCTTAAATTGATTTTTCAAAATTTTTTAGTTCAAAAAGAGATAATTTATTTCTTGTTGGGTTGAAAAAAATTATGGTGGGTGACGGTTGGACGTGGAATTTGAGTAGACAAAGAGACATTTTGTTTAATTAAGAAAAGAAATGGATGTTTAGAAGATAAATGATCAAATTAGTTATAGTCAGAGAATGGAATGTTTGTAATATATTTATGTGATAAATTTTATTGCCATTTATATGTTTTCTTTTAAATAAATTTATATTTTCAATTTGTATTAGTTTTTTATGTTTGCATATGATAACTTTATTTTATGGAATTTTATAAATATAATTTTCGTTTTTCTTCAATCAACCAATTAATTTTACATAATTTAAAACCCTCACCAAAGCGAGGCCTTACACAATTGCCTACCCCACCTATACTCAAGGCCGCAACTAATCGTGGCTTCCACCTAAAATTGTATTCAAGATAATCGTGAATTAGTCCAGATTGAGACTTTGTATATATAACATGATTGATATCTTCGTTGTTCTCTCTCTTTTTTTATCTTTCTTGGTTGTGGGCTGATGGTATAATACTGGACACTAGTGAATTTTTGTTTTTTCAGTTTTTTAACGGTAACCTTTTAGAGTCGGCCAGCAGACTATAATAACGGATATCGTGGGACTCCATTCAGAGCCAAAAAAATTCTGAAAAATAAAAATGTATGTATAAATTTATATAATTGTCCGTAAAACTTATGGAAAATAATAATATTTAGTTATTTATTTGTCGTGCCCTAACACAAGAATTCAAATATGACAGATAGCCAAAGGAGGCATAGACAAAACATTTGCATTTCTTATTTTGCTTAAATTCCTTCATTTTCATGGTTGAGCCATATAGTCCTAATGAATTATAAACAAAAGACTAGTAGTGTCATTTTACATGACATCTTTCACACCTTTCATCCTCACCATTGGCATATTTCAGAAAAAAATAATTAACAAGAAAATTCATAGTCAATCCTCTGCGACGTGCAAGACGGCATATTATCCACTTCTAATTTTTGATTTTTTTGTGGATAGTCGGAACAAATATTCAGATTCTAGTGCAAAGCATTATGAATTTTTTATTTTTTATTTTTTATTTTTAGATTTGTATTGTTTAGTTGACTTGCATATGTGAGAATTGAGTTAGCGAGTAGCATAGAGAATGATAACAATGTTATATCATTTATGCGGTTCTCATTCTTTTCGATTGGTTAAGTTGAGGTGTGATGTCCATCTCATACTTTTGTAATAATTAAAATCCCTATAGGTTCTTTGATTTAAATCATATAGTAGTAGTGATAGAAGACAACGGCGTAATGATAGTTGATTAGGCTCCATGTTGACCACGATGCTGGACTTTACTTTGATTGATGTAGTCTTTCTCAAGCACGTATAAAACATGGTGTTGTAGGTTCTAACAGCTTAGATTTGAATTGATAAACAAAAACAAACTTGGCAAAAAGGAAATATAAATCTTAATTACATTTGTGGAAAGTTCCACATATATAAACATTAGTAGAAAAAATTGATAAAATGAATGAATCATGCAGATACAAACATCTAGGATCTCCTTCAAGAGCCTACTTATTGAATATACTAAGTTGTTCAAAAATCAGTACTAGTATTGTGCTAGTGTTGTTTTGGAGGTGGAGGTGGAGGTGGAGGTGGAGGTGGAGAGTAGTAGTATAGTGGTGGTGGTGATGAAGAAGGTGGAGGAAGCAACTTGTAGTAATAAGGAGGATGTGGTGATGGAAATGGTGGAGAAGGTGACTTGTAGAAATGGAGGAGGTGGCGATGGAGGAAACTTACAATAGTACGAAGGAGGTGGTTGTGAAGATGGAAGTGGTGGCGATTTGTAATAGTAAGCTGATGGTAGCGATGGAGATGGAGGAGGTGATTTGTATAAATAACGTGGATGCTCTAAGTGATTTGGTGGTAGTGGCGATTTATAGTAGTATAGTGGAGGCGGTGACGAGTAGTAGTTTTGTTGGTGCCCAACATGCTTTGAAGGTGGTGGCTGCGATGAGTAGTAGTACTTCTTTGGTGGAGGGGGTGACTTGTAGTAGTTTTGTTGGTGCTCAACATGCTTTGGAAGTGGTGGCGGCGATGAGTAGTAGTACTTCTTTGGAGGGGTTGGTGACGAGTAGGAGTACTTCTTTGGTGGAGGGGGTGACTTGTAGTAGTATTGATGGCGTTCAACATGTTTTGCTGGTGGAGGCGGTGATTAGTAGTACTTCTTTCTTGGAAGAGGGGTGACTTTTAGTAGCACTGTGGGTGCTCTACATGCTTCGGAGGTGGTGGTGATTTATAGTGGTACGTTGGAGGTGGAGGTGATTTTGTAATAGTACTTTTTCAGTGGTGGCACTGTGGCAGTGACTTGGATGGCTTTACATATTTTTTTGGAGGTGAGGATTTGTAGTAATAAGATGGATGCTTCAATGGCTGTGGTTTAGGTGGTGACTTGTACACGTAAGGCCGGTGCTTGTAGAGTTTAGGTGGCGGCAGCGGCGCATAAGCGTAAGGCTTATAGGCGGCGATACTAGTGGCTGCTAAGCAAAATGATGTAGCATATGTGATCAGAAGCCACTGGCCTGCCCTTTCTGTGATTCCCATTTTTGAACTATGGCTTGTGTGATTAATGAGAATGATGCCTGGCTATTTATATAGTCATCTGATGCAGCAAGTTGCTGATAATGGCATGTTAATTTAATGATGGAAATAGGGCTTAATTTTTAATCATATCTATAAATGTTTACAACTACAGGATCATGGCTTTCAACTAAGTAAAAAAATTATTCATGATAATCATGAATTAGTCCATATTGAGACGTGGTAAAACATGATGTAGGGCTGGATGTACTTTCTTGATTTCTCTCCCTTTTCTAGGGTCGGGGTGCTATAAGGAGTGGGTTTGTCGAGAAATAGAAGTCTATGCAGTGCTCTACAAACCGAAGCCAATGATACGACCGGCCTTTAAATGTTCGATATATTGGACAGGATAGGATTATGAAAGTAAAAGATAATAAAATCTTATATGTTGTCTTGTGCAGTTGTGTATAATATTACGTAATGAACATGCTTTAAGAGTTAAAGACACTTGCGGCTTGTTTTGTAAGATGATCTATACATTATTGGACAATATTTGACAAGATATAATTATGTAAGGAAAAATGTTTAAGTCATCCGATATATTATTTTCTATCTTGTACACTAAGACACTTGTGACTTGTTTGGTAAGGTAGATGGTACAGTACGATGTCAAATAATAAAAGAACTAAAATCTAGTTCATACCACCAGCCTTTGTTTCTTTCTAATGTAATTAAATGTATGGGCAGCTAACTTCAACCTTAGCTATTGTTAAGTATATTCTCTTTTGCACCTAACTCGAGATTAGGCTGAGCTCCTTCCACAATTTGTGTGATGTTTATTCATTATAAGTAAAACATACCACATAGTGTGGTTGAACTAAAACAAAATGAACATACATTAATGACACAAACGTGCAACTTGTAATCACATCTCTATATTTATTTAGGCATGGTTTGACGCAGCATCAATCAACGGAAAAATGTAGTCACGGCCTGTGATATGATGCATCCCCAAAGGCTATGTAAAACAAATTCCCCGTAAACTTTTTTATATTTTCTCATACTTTATCGTTCCTCGATTTAAAGTAAACATATGATCTTGTTAGAAGTCTTCATATGTGCAATGATTGATTAAAGGAAGTGATATAAATTTCTCTAGTCTTCCTCAAATTTATTGAAAATAAAATTTAATTTTTTACTCCTAGACGAGAAATTAAAAATGACAGATAGACAGGAGGAGGGATAGGCGAAACATTTGCATTTCCTGCTAACCTAAATAAATTCCATCATTTTCTTGGTTGAGCCATATTGTTCAGAATGACTCATAAATCAAAGATTAATAGTGTCATTTTATATGATAATCAATCACAGACTCTTTCATTCTCACCAGTTGCACCTTACAGAATGATTTAATTCACAAGAAACTTCATAGTCAATCCTCTGCGGTTCATTATGCATAAATTACAGCAGGACGGCATAATATCTTCCGCTTATCTTTGACTTGCTCATGGATACTCGGAACAAATAATCAGATCTTAGTGGAAAACATTATCCATTATTTTAAGATTCGTGTTGTTAGTTAACTTGTATTCTGTACGAGCCTGTTTGGGAATGATTTTGAGAATTGATTTTTTGACCGTTAGGAGAAAAGTGGGGTCCACCTGTGAGAGAAGAAGTCAAATATGACGGCTGGAATAGTGAAATAACGGTAAAAAAATCACTCTCAAACAGGCTGTAAAATTGAATCAACCAGGCTGTTTGCTTCATTGATTAACAATGTCATATTCTGAAATGATTTGTGCACACACTATATAGTGTTATTACTTCTCCCAAAATCATTCAAGATACAACTATCAGTAGTTTCTTTTGAAGTTTTTTGCTCGTGGGATGCACAAAATGACATCCTGAGAGAGGTTCCGCCAAGGGCACCACCTTGCCTAAGCTATGCAAGATCCCCTAAATTATTATTATTTTCTCTCTGTAACATAACTTAATTCAAGTTTTGTTTATCTGTAATTCATGGATTCTGTACAGTCTATTTTCTATTAATAACTTGAACCGCACTTGACGTATAGGGTTGGCTCTTATAGGTACCTTATAGGTTACTCACAAAGGGGGGTTGGGTATTTTGGAGGGTCATTTTTTAATGAAGTGGGTCTTATATGAGTGACCTATAAAAGTTTCTGAAAGTAGAATTATTCTAATAACTTTGGGACGGGTGTTTTTGCGTAATAGCCACTAGTGTATTTGCTGATAAACCTTAAATTTATGCCTCACTGACTCCTTCCTATATTTTTAAGTCCCCATCTCCATCATCACCACCTCATATTTACAAATCCCCGCATCCATCATCTCCATCGCTTGTATAAATCCCCACATCCACTATCTCCGTCTTACCAACTTGTTGAGCGAAGGTTTTTTTTTGTAGTCATTATGCAAATATAATATATCTTGAAAAAGGTCTACTAGTAGGTAAAAAAAACTTCGAGAACAAGGCCAACATATCAGAAAGAATCTTGGGATAGAAGTCAACAACCATATAAAGAAAACTTGAGCATACCCACAAAAGAAATACAATACAGTAAAATCCTTATAAAATAATAATGTTAGGACTGAAAAAAGTTATTAATTTTATGGGATTTTATCTATCGATATTTTATAACTTGTACGTGCATTATTTTTGAGAAAATTAATCAAATCTTTCCTGAAGTTTATGATAATACAAAAACACCTCCTTTCTTCTCAAAAATTTTAAAAATCTCCCTTGAGGTTTACTTTTAGTAACAAATTTTCCTTGCCATCTAAAAGTAAATATATATTTCTCATTTTACCCTTCTATACTATTTTAAAAGTAATACATTATTATATTTAAATTATATATTTTCCTTTCTTATTCCTTAAGATATACTTTTTAATACTTTTCATTTAAATGAAATCATTTTAGTTAACAAAAACATCATTTTAAATATTTTTATAAAATTATTAAATGTAATTTTTTTCAATTGCAATTGAAAATAATTAACAAATTAATTTATATATATGGCCCAGGGAAAAGAAGATTAAAGTAAAGATAGAAAATTTATATAAAAGATTGAAAGATTACAGAATTGAAATTTTGTAAAGAACGAAAAATGAAAATAAACTTCTATTGCCAAATTCGCTCTCCCTTGAAATGAACTCTTGAAATCTTCTTATACTTGAAATTTCTTTCATTTGTCAGAAAGAATCTTGAATAGTTGAGTGGGAGACAACATAAAGAAGAATCTTGAAAAATGATGCCAACTTTTGAATAATTGAGCCATCTTTTGACTAACTTTAAAAAAGAAAGATTCATTTTTTAATAAAGTTATCTCTTCCTCGGAATGGACGGCAATCTCTTGAGAAAAAACTGATTAGCCGCCATGCAAATTTTGAATAGAATCTTCCTTGATTTATTGATCCGGTAATTTCTCAATTCTTCAAGAAAACTGGGTTCTTGCAGTCATTTGATCCTTTTTTCTTGAGCAAGAAAATCATCATAACCTAAATCAATTAGGTCATTACCATTGTCTGTTTCTTGAGATTCTTGATCAGATTCTTGAGTACTTGATTTTTTAGATCCATTTTTAGAAATTTGTTCATAAATTTCTAATAATTCTTTTGGATCTTTACATTTTGACAACATTGAAATAATCCTTTATTTTTCAGTTAGAAAATTTGCCTGATCATCTTGTTCTTTCTTTGAGAATTTTGGGACACCCAAATTTCTTTGTTCTTGAATCCATGATTGCACTGCTTTTGGACAACAATTTGTTTCTTTGAATTTAGACCACCATTTGACTTTGAATCTTCTGGTAATTTTTTGAGTGAAGTATTCATCATTTTGATTCTACAGTAGAAAGAAATCCCAACAAAAAATCCAATAAACTTTCATATTGGAGGCAAATTGGAACATAACATTTTCTTGAAGCTTTAAAAATGTTTTAGCCTCTCTCTTGAAGTATTCATATCTTTGAAGAGTAAAATTGTGTAAAATTTTGTCTTCAAGTCCATGATATAAAAACCATGTTTGAAACAATTTTGAAAAATGAGGATGACAATTTTGATTAAAAAGAATGAACCATGAATGGATAACAGGTCTAAAGAAAAAGACTCTGTACCAAGTATTGATATAGTCAAAATAATTGAAATATTCAGAAATTGTAAAATATGTTGAAGAGAGCTTAAGTCTCTTTTCTTCCTATGGGTTTTGTCTTCGGTCTTCGTGAGACAATACCTTAAGAATACTGATTTTTGAAAATATTGTTTATTCTTTATTTTGAGGATCTGGATATGAGAAATTATGGCTAATCCTGTTTCTAAAAGGATAGTCTCATAATAATCTCGGGATTTTTTGACATTTGATGGCATAAACCAGAAATTGGATGGAAAAATGTTTGGAAGACATTCATCCAGATTTTTGTATCTATGAAGCCAAGATGTTTCCATATCAAGGCAATTTTCAAAGATACTTTTGGTAAAATATTGAAAATTTTGAGGAGGGTTAATTTGAAGAAGTTTTCTAGAACTTTGGACGGCTTTTTTGTAGTTTGAAGGATTTGCTTTATCTTGATCGGGTTTTTTGATAAAAGTTGAAAGGGTACTTGAGGAGGAAGA